GGGGGGGGGGGGTCGGGGGACCCCCTATCATTAAAAGGGGTGCAACATTAAGGAGCCTCGAGGATCTCCTGACGACATAGCCTCAACCTCAATGACTGAAGGAGCAGGACAAGACTCTCAGCCAAGTCAAGCGTTTCCCTCCCGAATCACGTTGCTGGGATTGCAGCGACCGCTGTGACTGCGACGCCGCATCTGCGGAATCATCGGAACTGACCTCCTGCCGTGTCACCGTCACAACACACAACACACAAGACCAGTCTACCCCAAAAAACTTCCCGGACTGCACCGCCTGCACCTCTGGAGTGCCAACAGATCTCATAAACCTGGCTCAGAAAAATCTTGCAAAACTTGCAACAGCTTGCTCTCCATTTCCCTTTGCCTCTTCTCGCTCTTCCGATCTAAGCGAGGGATGTGTTGTCCGTTAAGCAATCAATGGATACTGAGACACCGGCAGATCGGCCATTTGCCTCGCAAAGAAGATGTGGAAAAAGTTCTGACGCAAAAATGGATCCTTTTGCATCTCGTCCAGCACCCAAGCACCTGAACGGTGCCGCCTTCGAAGCAAGCAGCTCCTCGGTGAATTGTGTTTTTCTGAATGCGATCACTTTCCAAGCTGGCTTCTGCTTCACGGCTTCACGGCTCTGCTCTCCTGGCACGGAGCCGCTCCCGCAGCATGTACATGACCTCGCCATCTGTGCTGCGTGTTCGAAATTCGAAAGAAGCTGAGCACCCCAGCAGACAGCAGAAGAGCCAGAAACAAAGCTCCCGCAACCGCCTCGGAATCCACCAATTCTTTGGATGTTCTGACAAGCATCAAGGGGCCAAAGCAATAGCTGCCGGACTTTCAATGAACCGGAGAAAGACTTGCGCAGTGACCTTGAATCTTACACAGAGCTGGCATGTCCTAGTACCGCTACCCATGACCTCAGGCCCAGGATCACCTTGGAACAGGGTGAAGCACACGACGCCTCCCAACGTCCCAAATCAAAACTTGTAAGACCAACTGAAAATGCTCACAACCAGCCTGAGAGAGTCACCAGGGTACCCAAGGCGTCACTGGAAGTCAGTGGCCTGAAGCCATTCAAAATAAAGGACTTCGCAAGCAGCAGGATTTCTGGGGGCCTGACCTGATTTGGAAGACCTGAAGAAGCAAAGAACAAAAATACAACAAAGCTGGGTGCACATGTGCTGAAGGGTCTCGTGGGATGCCAGTGTTTGACCCTTGCAAGCCTTCATCCTTGTCAGTTGCTTTGCTACGATAGAGCCCCAAACTTGGAGAAACATCAAAACATCCGAAGCAAGGAAGACAAGTGCACGACGGCAGGAGGTGAACGCTCAACAAGTGATGTTCCAAAAGCAAAAGCAAAAACCAAAATTGCCCTCAGCAAACTCAATAAAAGGCAAAGCTGTGACCTGGCTGAAGAGCGCATTCGCGGGCAGGGTCGCTCCAGCTCGGACTACAACAACGAGAGCCACCTTTTCCGCACGTCACAGTCAGAGTCAACCCGCAAAGCATGTCTATCTGGACCAAGGGCTTGGCTGGGCCGTATGCTAATCCCACCAAGGACAGAATCCCAAAAATTGTCGAGCCTGCAACTCGCATAAGTCTATACAGTCTATACATGTAGGATAACGTTCCAAGCTGAGAAAAGTTTGCGCCTATGGCGCCCAGCACACATTGGATCCGGCTGCGGTCAGTGTGTTTGCCACTGTTCTCTTGCCTCACCAACAAGCTACAGCAAAACAAAATGTGGACGCAAGTCCAACAAGTTGCTTTTTTGAAGAGACTGCACAATTTTACACAAGCATACATAAGCAAGCTCACAGCGCAATGACAAAACCCTGCATGAAGTTACCATTGTTGGGCCGGGGTGTAAATGTCTGCATCTTGTCGCAACCTACGATAACTTACTTCTCATTGGCCGGGGTCATCATCAGTCCGCATCGTATTGTCACCCTGCAGGGTGCCTTTGTTTATCCGCTGAAGACAGCAGGCAACTGAAAAATCCAACGCCGATGCCAGCAAGGGATGAGGACGCGATGCCTGACTCTTTCAAGGAATTCATGCCGAGCTGTCTGTTCACACGTGCATTTGGCAATCATTTGAAGGGGTGTTGCTTGCGAAGAGGTGCTGCTTGCCAAATGTTTGCTGTCTCTTCGTAAAAATGTTGCAATGCTCACAAATGCTGCAATGCCACGCGCAAACACCTCGCAGATCATAGTCAACCAAGTCCACGGTTTTGGCACATCCGCATGAACAGTATTGCAATAGAGGAGCATATAATGATGTCCTTGTAAGTTGCAAAAAGCTCCACGGATGATTGCAGAGCTTGCGGAACGCTGGCCATGGCATTGCGCGTGCCATCGAACGCTACAATCACAAGCTCACAATGCCAAGGTCAATTTTAGTTCAGCGGCGCCATCCTAATGAAAAAGCTGCTGCCAAAAGAGCGTTACAAATGCTACGTGACACTTTGTTTTGCAATGTGGCCAACCATCACCAAAGAACAGCTGCGGGCGCAAATTCATTCGCATGTATATATCATATAATGTTCCATACGTATCTTCAGAGGTACTCTCCCCTTAGCATATTTCGCGGCGTAACATGGAATAACTTTGTTCATGATGGAAATATCAGCAACTCTTCGATGCTCGATATCTTTTTGGGACAGGTCCATTGCAACCAGTCTAAGCCTAATGAAAAAAGCTCAAGACAACGCAGCGCCATCCTTAGCAGTGAGTCTCTGGGTTCTTGAGTGAGCGGACGGCCAGCTGACCCAGATTTGAGCCCAATCGTAAACATCTCCCGGATGTGCTGTGCTGTCAGCTTCTAGTATGGGTTGCAAAGCCCACGCTGGAGCTTTCTCATGCTAACACAAAGATCTTGGGCAGCCCGGATCTTCAAGTGCTCTCCTATCCTAAGCCGTCTGCCATCCCCAGCAGATGCGAGAATCCAGCAAAGGACTGCCAACGGCTAGACTCGATCTGCAAAACCTGAGCTCGCTTTCTTGTACACGCCTACAAGTTCAGAAAGGGCGTGTCAGCTATGGGGTGAAAGCCTCCAGTGCTGCTATTGCTAGAGGTTTTGGGTACCGGCAGCACACATTCTCGCCCCAAGAGGTGGCACACGCTAGCGAGTTCTCGTAAGAAGATTTGCAGAATATCCTAATCCAGGAAGCCAAGACAACGCAGGCCTCTCGTGGCTTTACCGCAAACGGTGGCTTGACATTTTTGCAGAAATCTGTTTTTTTGACCCTGGAAGATCACCTATTGGGTACTAGATAGGACTTAGGTTTGTATGCCCCAAACCCTTAACTGCAGTCTATAGACCGCTGCGCTCCGTTCGTGTTAACATGACGGAGGGGCCCCCTCGCTGACACGGCGAGCACACCCAGTAAACCCACGGTGGGCTGTGCGGCTGTGCAAACTGTGCAAACTGTGCAAACTGTGCAAGTTGGAAGTCCTCTGAGATGCTGAATAAACTCTGTACCCTTAGTGCCCTTAGGACTCGCAGCGTCGTGGCGTTGTGGAAGCCAAAACGGATGCGGCGGACGCAACAGCACCGTGCCGATGGGGCACATTGAAGTCAGGAAGCTCAAACAGCAATGCACCCTGGCTCCCAACGTACACGTAAGCATGCGCGAGCAAATTTGCTTGGGAAGCACGACAGCTAGGGTAACCAAAGTCAGCTGGAATCAGGTGAAAAACCATGGAGGACATCAAAAGTTATCGGCTAGCCACGTGGATGCAGCACAACACTGAGGTGGCAGACTACTGTGCTCATGGAAGCTGACACATGAATCTCGTCTCGCCAAGGGCCGCATGGGCTTATGGAGCACGTTCTTCAGCGGGCATTCAGCGCTGCGGCGTGCCAGAATCGGCGCAGTCTGCAATAAGCCCTTGCTGACAAGAAGTTTACCGTTCCCTGCACTCTCACCTGCCTGGGGCCTTTGGGATATCAAATCTCCGAGGAAGCTCGACTTGACTCAAGACCGGAATAATTTTTACCGACCCCCACAAGATGGCACCTTGCCATTGATTCGGCGCTCATCACTCAGCCACTCCCATGACTTCAAGTGTAAAGTTCAGCATGCCACTTCAAACTTGGCTTAGGTCAGAGCATGGGGCTCCTCTCTGCCTGGAACTGCTGGTGCGGAGTGGTCTCTTCCTTTGGCACTGTTGAAGATCCCGGCTCCACTCAAAACTTGGGTGGTCGCGCACAGCCATTTGCGCACATCGCCGAGACGCATGGACTCCATGCAAAGCTTGCAGAGCTTGAGGGTAAGCAAGCAGAATCGAAGGCACAACCATGGCACGTTCCTTGTTGAAAACTGCCCTTGCTATAGGACATGCAACTCGTAGTCCACGGAACACGACGACTGGCAACTTCCCCTCGGACCGCTCTATCCGAAACGAGGGAAACTTGAGAAGCCCAGCAGGCCATTCACGAGGGTCTGGGACCTGAGACATTTGAGACATCTGAGGCTGCAAAGTTTGCCAGTTCCCACCCACTCTGCCACTCCATGCTTTGCAGCCTGGCTAGCCAGCTCCCTGCACTCTGCCCCGAGCTCCCGCGGCATCAACCTGCGGCTTCTGTTGAGAAACTTGAGCACCGTGCTATGCTCATGCCACGCCTGAGATCTTCGAAGACTGAATTCGACGTTTCAGGCAGCTGACTCTCATGGGCAATCTGCATGAGGGCTGGTAGAACTGGAGTCGGCTCGTGCTATGCCTCTGCAGCATGCAGTTTGGCTGTGCTTGGCGGCAGGCTGGTGCAACCATCAGCAAGGAATGAAGCGGGCCCAGGCAGCAGGGTGCAAGGATCTGTGAGACAGCAGGCTT